AGTCTTTGTGAATGTGATTCAGTGAAGGAAGTTCAAAAGGGAATAGCCAGTGTTCCTGAAGGAATACAATATCACAATTTTGACACAGCTGGTAAATACCGCCAACATTACGCTTAGACGATTTACAGTTATATGAGCTTACACGAATCATCAGAAAATAAATGCTAACGAGGGATCACAGGCACATCACTTGCGCTCATCCAGTCTAGGTGTCGGTCCAGCTGCCCCACCCACTGGCCGTTGCGCTAAACCTGATGAGTCCCCTTGAGCGGTATCAGAGGGAGACCATTGTGTCGACTGTTGCTTTACAAAGAAGCGTCTTACCACCAAGCCCTGAGCCCAAAGCTGGGGGTCAAGTATATCAGGACTAGATGGGTTCACGATATCCAGACGATACGATTCGTAGGAGTCATACTTAGTCTGAAGTTTGGTCGCAGTGACGTCCTCAGCACCTGTTTGCTCTTTCACATACGACCTGACAGCCTCCTCCCCAGTGCCAGGCGGAAGTCGAGACATGAACATTGACAGACGTTTCACTGCAGCAACAGCTTTGATGGGACCAACTTTCCCAGACCCAATCACGGTCTTGGTGGTCGTCGGTCTCACCTTCTGATGGTCCGCAGAAGTAGAAGTAGATGAGGTACTGTCATTCGCAGGGGCTGCAGCTGGCCTCTTAGGAGCAGGAGCTTTCCCTCTTTTCTTTCTGTTGGCGATGGACCAGTCCTGATCAGAAGCGGGCGTGGCTACACGGACAACCGCCGAATAGCTGGGCTCAGAACTCACGACTTCGTTGGCAGAAGAACACAGCAGAGGAGATGTTTTAGAAGAGTCGGGTCCAGAAGAGGAATCAGAATTCGGCTCATCCGTCTGGCAGGAAGCAGACCCGGAGAAGCTTCCACGATGAGCCAACAGACCTGTTTCCAGGCGTTTCGATGTCTCAGCAGTAACAGACAGAATGTCTTACATCATGTCCTTCAGGTGACAAATTTCAATTTCCTGCAGCTGCTGCTTGCGCATGATTGAGCTCACATCAATGCAATCGACGGAGATGGGTGGAAGCTTAGAGATGTCAAGAGCTACAAAGCTTGGTAGCATGCTACGATCGCAAAGAATGAGCATCTTGATGATATCTTCCAAGTCGTGTTTCTTCTTGTGTTGACCGCGCTTCGGTCCAGCCTTAATAGAATCGTGGACATGTTCACGCAACAGATTCTTGGCTACATCAACTTCACTGTCAGAAAAGTTTTCATTCACCAATCTGGTCAGAATGTCCCTGGGCACACTATCAATCTTTGCGAGCATATAGCATAATAGCTCATTCACAATTAGAGACATGATCAATGGCTGGCAGAGAAAGTAGGTCACATCCAGAAAGATCTTAAGTCGACGACTCACCGGAAAAATAAGAGATGATATTCAATTATCTTGCGGCCATTAATTTTTTATCACTTAAGAAATAATATTTTCATGTTTTGCTGAAGATAATATTTAAAAAAACCATTATGTGAAATAATTATTCATTTGATGCATCTAAAGAGAAGTAGCGGTCAGATATGATACGAGCTGCAATGCTGTATACCAAAGTTACTGCCTAAAAAAGTTGTGGACAAAATATCTATTTTGGCAGTTTTGTTTCTCTGTCAGCAAAATTGCTCACTGAAGGTTAAATCTCAGGCAGGTTACTGAACAGGCTTTGATGGGTCTCTGAAATGTGCTCTTCCTTGATGGTGTTGGTGTGATCTCTTAGTTCACAGGTTAACTGCACTACTTTGTGAAAATTTGATTTTAAATGCATGGTCCAAAATATTGTGAAAGTCTTATCCATGGTTGTCTACATGTCAGCCAAAAATGGGGCAAAATGTTGAGTTTTTTTTTTTGCCTTTTAGACAGCAATGTTGCGGTACCCGCAGCTTTGTTGTGTGTGTGTGTTTTTTTTTTTTTAGTTGTCCATCGCCACGCCCGTGGGTCTAGTTCTCGGCCGTTCGGGTGCCAGTTTCCTTTCTAAAGAAGGAACTGTAATGGACTACATTACTAAGGTCCCATAGGAAGCAGTCCTGTTTGTTTCATGAACGGGGCTGTGCCGAAAATGAGGACCACACTGTATTATGATGCTTTACACTAATCTTTACATTCAGTAAAACTGGCACTGTTGATAGCTTTGGTTATTTGGTCTGATAGAGACGGCTAGAAAAATCATAAAACTCGGGGAGTTGGAAATTTGTGGAGATAGTCAAATAGTCAAATTCCACCGCAATCAGAACTTTCGTAGGCAGTTTCATGGTCTGACTCTGATTGGATTGCTGGTGAATCTAAATTTCAAATTAATCATGCTACATAGGGGTCACGGTCTGTCCCAATAGCTTCACTGGACTGCTGCTTCTCCCACCAACCGTTGGGAGTCTCGCATGTCCAGCGCCGGGGCGGCTCAAACCCTGGCTGTCATTGGACTCGGATTTGGGAGTCCAATACTCGGCAGTAATGAGTGTGGGGTCTCATGCTCTACTAGCCTCTACCCTCACTAACCATAATTGCTCCTTTTCAATGGCTGTCAATCGTAGCCCCAAATTGACGCATTACAAATCGATGAGTTAAAGACTAAAGTGCCCATCCCACCTTTACATTAGTTTTGCGTTGAGATAGCCAAATTAGTGGCCATGGCCTGCAAATACCGGTTTGGGCACTCACAACATCGAAAAATGCTTTAAAGGGACTATCCCACCTTCTAAAATGTAGTTAAAACCAGTTAAATTGTGCCCGACTTTATAGATTGGATGACCAGGAACACGGTTCTGGCATTTATTTTTCATTAAACATCTTAGGCTTCCCATATTCCAAACACAAACTTTCAAATATGTGACGTCACAGCCCAAAATTACCTCCTTCCCCAGGCCACATTACTGTCATAAAGCTGATTCTTTTTACTCTGTAGGCACCACAACAAAGTTCAGACCAAGTTTTAAGCGATTTTTCAACGAACAAATCCATTTAAATCAGAATGACTAAACGAGGTGACGTCACACTAACGGTCGCTCCATGTTGAAGATAGGGCCTTGCGCAAGGCCCATTTTCAAATGAAGGGAACGAATTTCTTCAACACCAAGAGGCCGCGGGGGTTGCAACCTAGATAGATAGTGGTTTCTGAACCTCGCCGCAAACTTGGTTATCTCAACTCAAACCCCATGTTAAAGGTGGGATAGTCCCTTTAATTCGGAGATATGGAATTTCAACCTTGCAGTTTTAGGATTCTAAGGGGCTAATGCATTGGAATGTCCCCTTAGAATTTGTGACGTCAGCGGTGATCTAACGATTTTAAACCCTTATACTAACATCTTTGTGAAGCAGTGGTGGTATATGCTATTTGCGCGCAACATCTGCCGCAAACGCCGCACTTCCAAAATGAAGTCGCTAGGAACAGTGGAGATCCCAAAAAGTAAACAGAAGTAAAAAACCTTGAAAACTGGGGAATATTTTTCGGTGAAATTTTGTAGATATTCGTTTTTGCTCTTCCTAAATCGAGCGACATCACTTTCATGCCAATTCATTAACTTTTTTGAAGGTGGGAGGGTCCCTTAACCCGCGCACCGACGGGGGTCTGCGCCAACTTCGTACCGACGGGGGGGGGGGGGGGCGGATGACCGCACTCCCCCTGAGATCTCGAGAACGAAGCAAGATAGCGACAAGCGGTAAACGGCAAGGGACACGCATGGACAAGGTCTACAATTTTTACAAAGGTCATTTTCAGGTCAGGTCAAAGATGACGTCACAGGGGTAAAAAAAGTCAAAATGGCGGCGCTAGGTATGGAGAGAGTTTTTTCTCGAATAACTTTCGAACTAGTCAATATAGGAACAAACTAAGGGCAGCATCGTGATCCTCTCGTCAATCCGCATCGAATGATATATATGTTGACCTCGAAAGGTCAAGGTCAAAGGTTGACCTCAGGTCACGTGACCTCGAGGTCATCATGTATATCATTCGATGCGCCTTGACGAGCTGAACACAATGAGACCATCCGCGCGGCTGTATCTTGTTCCTGTACGGAGTTATTGTCGAAAAACCGCTGGTGACCTTTGATGACGTCACATGACCTTACAGCTGCCCAACAGCAAAACAGACCTCAAGGTAGTGAAGGTTGATCGTATATGAGGTCATTTATGGTTTATGGGGCCATTCCGACCCGTTTTAGTGGTAAAACAGGGAGTTGATTTTTCCCCCATTGACTTATAATGGGGAGGTCGAGAAATTGACCTGACCTTAGGTCATCAATATCAAAATTCCGAGGTATACAAATTGTAGCTACTAATGACCTTATAACATCCTGCGACTTTCAAAGGCCTCCGACATCTACTGTAGCTCTGGCACGGTGACAAAGTTTCAAAAAAGTGACTTGAGGTTGGGTCATTCAAAGTGACCTGGTGACCTGACCTTAAAAGTTAGGAGGTTCAAACTTGCACACCATGTGTAAAATTGATGAGAGAATAGTCGTACCAAATTTCGCGGCGCTACGCGCCGGGGTTTTCCCGCTATTCGCGAAAAACCTCAGGGGGGGCAGTGTCCCAAAATTAATCGATTTGGGTGTGAAACGACATCCAAATGAAAACCATTTTCCACTCTCAATTCAACCTTTCAAGATCAATTTTCCACTCCGAACGTAAAAAGCAAAGGGCATATGCGTTGATCTTAAACAACATATCGATGCTTCCTACATTACACGCTATACCCTATCATATTTTTTTTTTTTTTGTGAAAATGTAAGCTATCAATTTGTTTTTACTCCACTCTTATCCCTCGCATCTGTTGTTAGCTTTACCTTACCGGCAATTTTCCACTCTCTTCACCCTGTCTACGGAATAATTTTCCCCTCTACACCCAAGCTAAAATATAATTTTGGGACACTGAGGGGGGGGGGCGGATATCCGCCCCCCCCCCGTCGGTGCGCGTGTCAAACCTTGCGAGAATTTCAGGTGCTGACACTGACCATCTCCCCTCCCTTCTTTCGCAGGTTGTCAATCGTAGCCCCAAATTGACACCTTACGATGTCGGGAGGATTGGAGGTGTTGGCCCTCAAGGAGGCCGACGTGATGAAGATGCTGGCGGCATCGACCCATCTCGGCACTCAGAACGCCGACTACCAGATGATGCAGTATGCTTACAAGCGCAAGAAGGACGGTAAGCTGCTGGGTGACGGTCAATTGTAGCGTGTCATTTGGAGTATGAGAGGTATTTTATTATGGTTATTGTTATTTGTTATCAGTCAAAAACCCTGATAAGTTGTTTGATCGATGATACGTGCAAGCCATTTACAAAGGAAAAAAAATAGTTTGTTCTGTGACATGTCCATCGCCACGCTCGTGGGCCTCGTTCTCGGCCGTTCGGGTGCCAGTTTCCTTTATATAGGAACTGTAATGGACTACGTTACCAGGGTCCCATAGGAAGCAGTCCTGTTTGTCTCCTGAACAGGGCTGTGCCGAAAATGAGGACCACAAATATCTCGTTGCAATGTTTGAACGTCGTTTCTGCTAAACCAACGTTACAGTGACCCGCCACAGCATGTATTAAACAAGTAAACAAAACAGCAATACATAGCACGTCCGCTCTCGGCCTCTGAACTCCCTGCACAAACCCATCAGCCCACCACCGGGCCCGACATATCTAGTCCACACAATTCCACTAACGAAAGCGAGCACGCACTGCCGGTGGCGGGCAGGGCGAACGCCACCGGTCCCACCTGTCGGCGGGTCACGTAACTACGGTTTCTGCTAAACCAACGTTACAGTGACCCGCCACAGCATGTATTAAACAAGTAAACAAAACAGCAATACCGCCATGGAGAGAAAAACACACCAACTGAGCGAGAACAGCGAAACTGAATGCACAAACCAAGCGCACAGTACCCCGTGTGAACTGTATCGTCTAACGAGCGACGCTCAGGAGAAGAGGGTGTCAGTATACGCACGGTCGACCTCACCGTGCACATAGTGGTCCAAGAACACTGATCGCGTCTTCCATCGCCCTAGGCGCTGAATGTCATCAGTATCAAAGCCCAGCTGCACCGCACGCGTCGCGCCCGTCGGTCTAAAGTCTTTCGGCTGATGGCCTGGTGCCAATCCAAACTTTTCAGCCAACGAAATCGCCTCCCGGAGAATCTGAGACACCGTACTAGCAGACACCGCGGTAAAGGGCTTAACAAGCGTCAAAAACGCCGGCTTCTCCACTGGACATCGCACTGAGTCGGTACGCGCAAAATACGACTTGAGCGCCCCCACAGGGTCTACCTGGGGATCCGGACAGGCGGGCAGGGTAACCTGAAACCCCGTCCTCTGGCTGTCGTTCTTTACACCCAAAAAGGTAACCTGGAGAGAGCCGTCCTCTCTGAACAAGAACTGATCAGTCGACATCACAAAAGAAGATACAAGGTCTGTGTTAGTGTCGTACGTTTTAGCCCGTGGCGCTACGTCTGACGGTCTTAACATCAACGCTAAAGCTAACAAAACAATGGTCTTCAACCTAAGGTGTTTAACGGACAGGTCGTCATTACCTGACCAGGCACGAAACAGACGCATGAACGCAGAAATATCCATGACGGCCGACCTGGCCAACGGCGCGCGCGTGCCACTCTTCACAATACCCTGCAACAACCGAGCAACAAACGGGTCGTGCACGGGGTTAGCAGCACCCACTGCCTCATACAGCGCAGATACGGCGGCAGACACGCACCGGACAGTGGAGTGTGGACGAGAAGAGGAGCCACACCGGTGGATCATGAAGTCAGCCATCACTGCAGGATCGGCCGGCGGAAAAGAAACTCCCCGGCCGCTGCAAAATGTGAACAAATCACGAATGTAACGGTCGTAAGTTTGCAACGTGCTGCCTGCCAGGCTCAGTTGCATACAGTTGCTCGCTGTCCGAGACCAACCACGAGCGGCTAGCTGTTCGCGCCAGATATCCTCCAGGCGAACAGACTCCAGCGGCAGTTGCGCCGCGGCTCTATCTCCTGCTGCTCGGCCAGGGGGAGACACGAGCTCGTCACCGGCGGCAGCCGCAGCGGCGGCGCCGTGGACAGCCGGCGGAGCCGCGCCATCCACGGCTGCCCCGGCCACATGGGTGCTATCAGCGTCGCGACCGCCCGCTGTGCCTCCACGATGTCCAGAACCCTCGAGATTAGACGAAACGGAGGGTTCACCCAGTTGTTCTCCGCGCCCCAATCGGTCTGGCCCAGCGCGTCGATCCCCGCCGAGCAGGGGTCGGCAAACCGACTGTTGTAGGCGGGAAGTAGCGCCGTATTGAACGACGCGAACCGGTCCACTGTATGCGGCCCGAACATCCGGTCGAGCTGCCGGAAAATGAACGGATGTATCACCCACTCATGACGCACCGAAACACGCGAGAGAGCATCAGGACCTGTGTTTGAAACACCCGCTATATGATGCGCGACAAGCGACATGCCATTCTGTAACGCAAATGCCCATATATCTTGGGCGACACTATCCAAGCGAATATTGGAAGATCCAAAATTATTAATGTGCGCCACAGTAGCAACATTGTCAGACAGAATCTCCACTGTTTTCCCAACTAACGCTGAACGGAATGAAAGGAGTGCCAAATATACCGCGAGCAGCTCTCGATAGTTGACCGACTCGCCACTCACCCGATAGTCCCAGAACCCGGACGCCAGCTGACAACTGTGCGCCGAGAGAACGGCTCCCCAGCCGGAGCCCGAGGCGTCGGTGGCGAGCTGCAGATCGCAAGCAGCTGGCGGCACCAGCAGCCGGCCGTTCCAGCTGTCCAGAGAGGACACCCACCACGACAGATCGTCCCTGGCTCCGGGGGACCACGTCAGCAGCGACCCCCAAGACGACCTGGAATTCAAAAGTCGGTACACATTGCGAAGTTTCAACTTTGCGGGGAACACCGCGGCGAGCATACTAACGCAACGACCGGCCATTCGAGCCAGCACCCTAGCTGACACGTTAGAACGTTTCAGTGACCTCGAAATGTCCTGTTTTAGCTTGCGGATTTTAGCCTTCGGAACTGTTATCAAAGGCGGTCGAGACGCAGACGCACAGTGAACGTCAAACCCTAAATACGTAACTGAATCTGACAGCGTGAGACAGGACTTATTAAAATTAACCGCAAGCCCTAGAGCCTTGAGGGTATCCAACAGTACGCGCATGTCCTCCTGAATTCGTGTTTTTGACGAGCAAAGATAAAAATCATCCACATATGCCATCAGGGATAGAGAGTGAGTAGGACCACGCAAATACTCGACGACAACACGAATACATTTGTGGAAGAAAAACGGCGAACATTGCAAGCCAAACGGTAGACAGCACCACACCCACCAAAAACCGCCAAACTGAAACCCTAAATACGTTCGGAACTCAGCCCTGATCGGAAAATGATAAAAACCATCCTTCAGGTCTACGGTGACAGCCTGCTCACCACCGCGCACTATCTCCGGCAGCACATCAACACCCTCAGAAGAAAATTTTGGCGTGTCACAATGCGAGTTCACGTACCTGAGGTCGCATATCAGTCTGAACTTGCCGCCACTCTTGGGCACTACCTTCAGCGGCGATACACAATGGGGCATGTCGCGAACCCGCCGAATAATACCCCTCTCTTCCAGCGCACTGATTTCTTGGTCCAAAAACGTTTTCTCTGCACCACTAAACACTGGATTGGTGAACACTCTACGCTCGGGTTCACGCACGAGGGGGATGGGCACGCCCTCCGTCACCCAGTTAAGTACTGTATCAGACGCACCGATCCCCGCCCAGGCCTCCGGCCGCAGCACCATGTCCACTCTCACTATCAGTCCGCAGCTCCGGCCCCCGCCCCACCAGACTGCCTCGACCTCGGCAGGTCACGTGACGGCGGCAGGCCGGGACGACCGCGGCTCCGCCAATCAGACGACACCGGGCCGCCGTATAACCGCTGGCCCTGCGGCGCTGGACCTCGCCAGCGACCACGGTCAGGAACTTGGCTGACCTGACGAGAATGCTGCCGCGCCCCGGCAATGGCCACGGCGCGCTGGAGATTTTCCACTGCTCCAGGCGTGAAGGTCGCCGGGTTGTGTTGCAGCGTTTTGAACAGCTGCGCCGTAGAGTCGTCGAACTGGTTGGAGACAATCAGATGAGTGTACTCCTCTTGTAGGAACCTGAGCTGAGCCAGCGTCACGGTTGTGAGCTGGTCAATCACTGGATCAGCTACCTGCGCCGAAGACAGTATCTTCAAGGCGGTTTCCTGGAAACGGGCGCACTTCTGGATGACCTGGAAGCGCGCTAGATCAGCCTTGCCGATTCCGGCTCGGGAGTCACCAACCACCAAGTCCTGAGGGAGCTTGACCTTGCTCAGGCTGTCCCGAATCGCTCGAAAGTCAGCCTGCAGATCTGCTGACGCGCCGAAACTCGGCTGCTCCTGCTTCTCACTGGGCTCAGCAGCCTCGGCTGCACTGAGAGCCGTTGGAGCCACGTGCCGACGACCGGCGTTGGGCTCACTCACACGAGCGTCAATGACGCGCACTGATGCCTCGATGGCACTCACTTTTTCCGCCAACTCGCGGATAGCCTCCTCCATCTCCGCACCGCTCAAAGCACATGCGGAGACCCGAACCGCCTCAAATACCGGCGACTGGGCCACGCACAGGGAGCTCCGAGCTCTGCCGAAAGCGAGCACGCACTGCCGGTGGCGGGCAGGGCGAACGCCACCGGTCCCACCTGTCGGCGGGTCACGTAACTACGGACACTCGACACACATTTAGCGAAGCATGTTAAATGAACAGGATGAGGGGGGAGAGCCAGGGCTGCTCCGATCCACCATTGAATTCGTTCACTGTTCTGTTTTTATCACTAATGAACTGAGCCAAATTGATTGGTGACCAAGTAAAAACCAACTTTCAGTGCAGTCGTCATAGCCAACGCACAGACCCTCGTGATCAGCAGCACCAAGTCTATCTCCAACCCTGATCCGTGCCGTTCGCCAGGTATCCACATCATCAACCTGCGCCGTACCTACGAGAAGCTGCTGCTGGCCGCACGTGCCATTGTGGCCGTGGAGAACCCGGCCGACGTGTACGCCATCAGCGCTCGGCCCTGGGGACAGCGCGCCGTGCTCAAGTACTCGCACTACACGGGCGCCACGCCCATCGCTGGACGCTTCACGCCCGGCTGCTTCACTAACCAGATCCAGGTGAGTAGGACGCGAGGAGGAAAGATGTGGGACAGTCGAGTGAATGGGATGGTTAGGCCTTGAAACATTGATTGACAAACCTTGGGAAGATGTGAATCTGGTGTTTGTGTTGGATCTCTGGTTGTGATCATTTAGGCATATGTGGCATGTCGATACTTGGTAGAATAGTTTTTTTGTGGCGGGAATATGCGATGCTGCCAGTGATTAACGGCGTTTTGTTTCATCTGCTTCATCTGAACGTTGCTGAAGTGGACAACGGGGGGTATTTAAACGGGTAAATTTCAAATGCCTCGAGTCTCCAGGCGGACTAGCCATATGGCTAGCGCAAAAGGCTTAGTTGCGTTGTACTTCAGAATCAAATGTATGCCGGTCATCCGTCCATCGCCACGCTCGTGGGTCTAGTTCTCGGCCGTTCGGGTGCCAGTTTCCTTTCGAGGAACTGTAATGGACTACATTACCAGGGTCCCATAGGAAGCAGTCCTGTTTGTTTCATGAACGGGGCTGTGCCGAAAATGAGGACCACATTTATTTCCATCCCAACTGCATTGGGGATGACTGGCATGATTCACGATTGCTGTCTTGCTATTTAAATGCTCTTAGCTGAACTTACGTGATTTCTTTCGAGTTACTGGTACGAGCGCTTACTGGATAAATTAAAAGTCACATTTTAGCAGCATTCATGTCAGTTTCTATGCGCTTCATGCCAATAATGCCACAGCTGCTAAAATCCCGCTTTGTTATGACTGCACACTGACCCACCGTCCTCGTTTCCAGGCCGGTTTCCGCGAGCCGCGCCTTCTGATCGTGACGGACCCGCGCGTGGACGCCCAGCCCATCTCGGAGGCCTCCTACGTCAACATCCCCGTCATTGCCTTCTCCAACACCGACTCGCCGTCCCGCTACGTGGACATCGCTATCCCCTGCAACAACAAGGGCTACCACAGTATTGGACTCATGTGGTGGATGCTGGCGCGCGAGGTGCTCCGCCTGCGCGGCACCATCGGCCGCAAGCGCGACTGGGAGATCATGCCCGACCTGTTCTTCTACCGTGACCCGGAGGAGATCGAGAAGGAGGAGCAGCAGAAGCGGGAGGCAGCCGCCGAGGAGGCCGCTGCCGCCCAGGCGGCCGCCGCCGCCGCCGCGCAGGCCGCCCTGCCGCCGACTGTGGAGGATGTGCCGGCTGACTTCGGCACGGTGCCGACGGGCGCGCCGGTGCCAGCCGCCGCCTCCGACTGGACCGAGGAGTGGTCGGCCGGAGCAGCCACCGGCGAGTGGGCCGCCGCCGCGCCCGACCAGAGCTGGGCCTAGACGCGGCCAGGTGAGAGAGGAGGGGTATACTGGGAAGAGAATGGGGCTGTGAAATGTTTTCTCAGTTTCTAGTGAGCATAGCGGCGGCTCGTGTGCATACTTTTCACTTCATGTCTGTTTGATATCAATCACCCTTTTTACAACGCGATAAAGTTTTTCCCCCCTTTTAGTTTAATCTGCCATACAATAGCACATTTTGAATGGTAGCGACGTTATATGTATTTTATGCTGCATTGCTTGATAATTTTGGTCATTTGCTCCGTGTTTCGTGACACCATTATCCGTCCATCGCCACGCTCGTGGGTCTAGATCTCGGCCGTTCGGGTGCCAGTTTCCTTTATATAGGAACTGTAATGGACTACATTACCAGGGTCCCATAGGAAGCAGTCCTGTTTGTCTCCTGAACGGGGCTGTGCCGAAAATGAGGACCACACCTGTTTTATTGATCCAACGATAGTTTTTTTTCGGGACTGCCTTGACTGTGATGGTCACGAATCACGATTGTGATAGCGAAACACATTATCATGCCAGGGTGCTCGTGCGTCAGGCCTTATACTTTTTCTTCTCTTCGCAGGTGATTTGGCCAGGGCACACCGACATTTCCATTACAGGTACGGTTTGGGCACATTTTACTGTAACATGGTAGTAGCATATTGCGGCGCTTTCACAAGCCTGTACCTACTCATGAGCTATTACGTTCAGCTAAGAGCTCGGCTTTTACATATTTTAGGTAGCCTTTGCGTAAACCTTGTAAGCATTGATACTTGAATGAAGTACGAACTGTTTGTGATCAAAGGTACCTATTTCCACTGATGATTATATAAAGGGACTTAATACAGAACTTCTGTGACGATTCTTTACTCTGATATACTTTTACCACACCACCAGTGTTCCTAGTCCCGAGTGTGTTCTTACACTAGGTTTTGTTTCTGTTTCACAGCCGGGGGAATCCAGCCGTGTTTCGTCGGGTGTGCCTGAGGTACGTGTTCGCTGGATGTTTTATTATTTTCTGCATGTCCATCGCCACGCTCGTGGGTCAAGTTCTCGGCCGTTCGGGTGCCAGTTTCCTTTATATAGGAACTGTAATGGACTATATTACCAGGGTCCCATAGGAAGCAGTCCTGTTTGTTACCTGAACGGGGCTGTGCCGAAAATGAGGACCACAAATCTCGTTTTTTTTGCGATGTGTCGCCGTCTGTGAAAAATCTGATTGCAAAGTTAGTCGTATTTTCATTTTTTATTTCTGCTCTAACTTTTATTTTTCTTTCAATGAAAATTCATGCAAGTATATGAATGCATTGCCAACCCAAACTCCAGTGCTTCCAGCACGTCCCAGTCCACCTACAGGTTTTCCGTGTTTTCTGACCGAAACTCTGCATCTGTTCTTTTGCAGGTGTGGTCGCCGCGGTCTCTGCCACCGGCCGGTGCTGCCATCTACGGGCGCCGTCAGTCATCCGTTCGCCACACTGAGGGCCAATATAAACACCTATCCAATCGAACAAACTGGCTGTGTCTCTGGGGAGTGGGGATGGCAGGTGGGGTGGGATAACTGAAGAATGCTGTGGGTGATGAGCTGAACTTATATGGTAAGTAATATCTGTATTTGAGACCAATTATATCCCGACGAGACTACCTGTGTGCGTATGGGAGATTCAGAGCGTTATGCTATTCATTCTGAATCACTGTTTCAACCATTTTAGCCACATAACATTGTCATTCTTGCTAATTTTGTATGTATGAAGCAGGTGCTCAAGTCTATTGTCTGACAATCTGTTCACGTCCCAGCCGAGCCGATGTGGACGCCCTAGTGTCCGGGGCTGGACTTGTTGAAGCTTTCAATCATCGTCATCAGGTGAGACGTTTTGACATTGCCGACGGTTTTTGCGTTAGTGTTGCTTATTTGCCTCAGTATGTAAGGATGTCCGATATTTTGCTCGACGTTGGACCTGTTTTTCGAGTGCCCGTTTCAATGATGATTAATTCAGTACAGGGACTTAATACTGAATACCTTGATGACGTACTTTCTGAATTTCGTGTATTTATTATTATTGTGATTGGTGTTTTATCTGATTAGTAACAAATTGTTTCCATTTTTCAGCGTGTCCTCTCATCTGGCTGTACTAATCGTCCATCACAAGTTTAAATGTAAGTTTGTTGCTGTGTGTAATAACTGTTTGCTACTTGGGTGCCGATATAAGTATAAGCCATAAGGTCAAATATTTTTTTTTTCCAAACAGCAGATGCTTCGCCTTGCTTGTCTTCTGCTTGGCCTGCACTGTTTGACATTGTACCACCTACAAAGTGATGATTAACTCAGTACAGGGACTTAATACTGAAACCCCATGTTGACGTACTACCTGATGATTGATAGAAGCGTTTGCTATCGAAATATGCCGTACAAAATGCTCACCTTTGGTTGTCTTTGCCGATAGGTGGGGACAGTGTCATCCTCTTGCCTCTGAAATGACAACTCCTGTTGTCTCCTGCTTCTGAGGTGAGTGTTTGCATGCTATATGAATCTTTCGTCTTTTTTATAGGATTTATGGCAGGTACCGTTTTCGCAATAAATGCATTTTCAAAACTACTCTAGTGAACCATCCTAATACTACTTAACCAGCTACGATGCATTAATTGTTATGGCTATTGCGATATCTTGCACTATCATGATGAAAGATCTTCATACGGACCACGATGACTATATTGTATTCGTACACTGAGATGGTCTGGATAACCCTCAGCGGTGCTCAAATGGTTCCTTTTCTGACTGTTCTACTGTCTCTTACAGGAAGTCTAGAAGACTGGTCTGGTCTAGAAGACCCTCGTGGTGGTCTGTTCGGATACACATCACTAGCTGGAAGAGGATCGTCGAATGATGCGTCTGTGTTGAATGGTAAGCCAATTTTCCCGACCTTTTTCAGCACAATGCAGTCTTAACCCGCGCCCCGTAGGGGGGGGGGCCAAAACGGCCCCCCCCCCCTGTCCTTTTCGGTCGATATCTCCTAAACGGCTGGAGATATCGCCACGAAACTTTCAGGACCCCTCCGGGCATCAATTTTACACATTGTGACCAAAAATTTTTCCAGAGGCTATGATAGGTTGGCCACAAATGACGTCAGAGTGACGTCATGTTCTGTCATTTTCGACCGAAAAAAGACCTTCGCGAGAAGACCTGTCACGCCTACAGCTTTGAAGATACAGAAAAATAATCAAGACATAAAAGGTGTAGAATTGACAGGGTTACAAAACTGCTATCTCGGATTTTTGAAATTTTGGAGTTTTGACCCCCAAAAATCAAAAAAGCATTTTTTTGGATATATTAGCCAAAAAATCCAAAAAGTTTTTTGAGTTTCGAAAAAACCGGAATATATGTGATAGTACCTACCGTCTTCTATCTACATACCAAATTTCAGATCGATATCTCGTTTTTTGGCCAAGTTATAGCGAAAAAACTGTTCAAAAATGATGACGTCAAATTTTCAAACTCAATTTTTGGCAATTCTAGACCTCGTAGAGCAAAACAAAGACCACCATTAGACTTCCCGTGACGAGCTGCATCGAATCGATACCCATTTTATGCAAAAATATCAACTTTGAAATCTGACCTAATTTGACCTGACCTTGACCTGACCTTCACCAAAACGTGACCTAGGCTGGCCCCAAAGGCTGCCTAACCCACATAATCGCATTTGTCATGTAAAATGGACCATAAAACATGTATCACACGACACTTTCATATTATGACCCCCGGTGACCTGACCTCGCTGTGACCTGACCTGGTATCAGTGACCTCAGATAGCAAAGTATGTGTTTGACGAACAATGTACCATCGATGGTTATCAATAAATTACCAATTTACTCGATTTCACAACACATTTCTTGAAATGCCTGTGAACGGTGAAAATCTGACCTTTGACCTGACCTGTGACGTCATCGGTTTGACCTAGGTCAATGAAATTTGGTCACAAGGTAGTTCCCGGGTGGGGCTATCGAACGCCGTTTAAATTTTGAAAATCGGACGGTAACTTTCCGAGATCTTAGGGGGGGGGCCGAAACGCCCCCCCCCCCTACGGGTGGTAGGGTCCGCCGGTAGCCCTACGGGGCGCGGGTTAATTTCATTTTGGCGTATCCAAGCTCACCTTATGGCATCTATAATTTTCATTTAATACAAAAGTCACGCAATTAAAGCAGTCATTTAAAGTATTGATAGGACGTGTATTCGTTTCAAGTGATGATTAACTCAGTACAGGGACTTAATACTGAAACCCCATGTTGACGTACTTCCTGATATTTATAGCGCCTCGCTAATTACTCTCATCCTGTCGTCATTCGCTTATCGACGCCTTGTTTCGGTTTCAGAATTCCACCCATTCTGCAACGTCTCGTGGCCATTGATCATCTGATATTCATCCAAGCTGAGGTGAGTTGTCATACGAGGGAAATAGTCGTGCGTTGCTTTGTCAGCATTCGAAATGAAAATTCAAATGCGTCGTATATCGTATTTCAAGTGATGATTAACTCAGTACAGGGACTTAATACTGAAACCCTATGTTGACGTACTACGTGATGCCTTTCTTTATTCAGGCTACTTTTTCAGTAATTCTGTCGTCTAATAGCGTTTTTCCGCTGTTACAGTCTAAATATTGAGCGATGGCCCTAATGGATGAAAACCGAGCTAAAATGAAGGTGAGTTTCGTCCAGGTTATTCATGTCGTGATATCTTAATTTCGGCAGGCTTTGTGGCTGAAAAATTTAAGCTATAAAAGTGCATGGTTTATGATTGTGTGCGGTTTTGAGCAGAATGTGCCGGTCATTTCACAGGTGCTTCGTGCATGTGATATATTGAATGGCATTGTTTTCCAGGTGAATTGCTTCCGTTTCAAATGATGAGTAACTCAGTACAGGGACTTAACCCGCGCACCGACGGGGGTCTGCGCCAACTTAGTACCGACGGGGGGGGCGGATGACCGCCCCCCCCCCCCTGAGATCTCGAGAACGAAGCAAGATAGCGACAAGCGGTAAACGGCATCGGATACGCACGGACAAGGTCTACAATTTTTACTAAGGTCATTTTCAGGTCAGGTCAAAGATGACGTCACAGGGGTCGAAAAAGTCAAAATGGCGGCGCTAGATATGGAGAGGGTTTTTCTCGAATAACTTTCGAAGTAGTCAAGATAGGAACCAACTAAGGGCATCATCGTGATCCTCTCGTCAATCCGCATCGAATGATATATATGTTGACCTCGAAAGGTCAAGGTCAAAGGTTGACCTCAGGTCACGTGACCTCGAGGTCATCATGTATATCATTCGATGCGTCTTGACGAGCTGAACACAATGAGACCATCCGCGCGGCTGTATCTTGTTCCTGTAAGGAGTTATTGGCAAAAAACCTTTGGTGACCTTTGATGACGTCACATGACCTTACAGCTGCCCAACAGCAAAACAGACCTCAAGGTAGTGAAGGTTGATCGTATGTGAAGTCATGTATGGTATATGGGGCCATTCCGACCCGTTTTAGTGGTAAAAACAGGGAGTTGATTTTTCCCCCATTGACTTATAATGGGGAAGTCGCGAAATTGACCTGACCTTAGGTCACCGACATCAAAATTCCGAGATATACAAATTGTAGCTACTAATGACCTAATAACATCCTGCGACTTTCAAAGGCCTCCGACATCTACTGTAGCTCTGGCACGGTGACAAAGTTGCAAAAAAGTGACTTGAGGTTGGGTCATTCAAAGTGACCTGGTGACCTGACCTTAAAAGTTAGGAGGTTCAAACTTGCACACCATGTGTAAAATTGATGAGAAAATAGTCATACCAAATTTCGCGGCGCTACGCGCCGCGGTTTTCCCGCTATCCGCGAAAAACCTCAGGGGGGGGGGGGGCGGATATCCGCCCCCCCCGTCGGTGCGCGGGTTAATACTGAAGCTCCCGTGTTGACGTACTTCCTGACTGCCCACCGTTCCACCGCCCTGTCGCTAGCTATCGTCCCCTCCTAATCGTACCGTTCTGTCCTTCACAGATCGAGTCAACGACGGAGTGCTGCAGCTGCAAGGAAAGAAACAATCAAAGGCTACTGAGGAGTCTGAACGCGTCATTGAACTGCCTGTGAATTGTATCATCAGTGTCGGTTGAGCAATAAATGTGGAACAAAAACTCGATTTTGTGATGCATAGCGATAAGGTGCGTGCGTATGAAAGATAAAATGAACCCACGGGAATAATCCTTATCCGAATGGTAACACGTATAACACGTAACTCTTTCGCTTATTAGGCGCTATCAAGGTGTTCGAAGTGGAGTCTGTCGATTACCATTATCAGAGTTTTAGAAACAAAACTGCTTCAACCGTTCACGGTGGATTAAAGACCTTAGGTTTGGGAATACACTGATTACGGTGCAAGGAGCAGTGTGCCGATAAATAAGGGAGACTGGTCACTCGACGCCCAGCAGAGTCATAAAATGGCGCGAGAAAAGCTTTTCGCTAAACTGCTTCTAATAGCCGTGAGTCGCAGGGAGTCTACTCTTGGTGACGTTGCCGTAGCTTCTTATCCGGCGGGGCTGGAGTGTAGCGAAACTTTTGGTTTTGCCTTTCGTGTAATACTGAAAGCCAATGGAATCTCGAGGCTGATTCCGGAATGGAGAGTATTTGGTGGTCTACAGAATCGATTTCCCTTAGTTTCGCTGATTTTGATCTGATTCAACACTTCTTTTCAGAATGCTTACGCTCAGCATCAATCCTTAACCCGCGCCCGGCTGGGGGTCCTGGATTTCCACGCCCTGCTGGGGGGGGGGGGGTAACTCGGCTTCTGGGCCACGTAGCGATACACGGAAGACGGCGTTCGAAAGAGCGTAAAAAATAATGACGAAATCATTTCAGTCCATTTTTTGGTCAGGTCAAAGGTCAGGTCACCAGAGGTCATTGAAGGCAAAATTTCGCCGATTTCCAGGTCGAATGTCGAAAATTTCCAAGAAGCCAACGCATAACTCGGGAACCAATAGAGCTACAGCGCCGCGGAAAAGCGCATTCGATAGCCCTATTAACGCCCTTTCTGAGTATTTCTCTCAGATTTGACCTAACGTCAACGGTTTTGTCTGCAGGGGGCAAAAACTACAAAAATAACCGTTTTTTTCGGAAACAGTTTTTCTGCAATAACTTTTGACCCAAGCCTTGTACGAGCTTACTTTTACTGGCATCGTGTTACTCTCGTCAAGACGCATCGAATGAACTATAACTTGACCTTGAAAGGTCAACTTCAAAATTTGACCTCAGGTCAAGGTCATGACCTGACCGGAAAGGGTCATGTTGCATATCAGTCGATCCGTATCGTCGAGCTGAACACATCTAAGGCGTTTTCATCGCTCTAGCATGCCTCTGTAAGTTATTTGCGAAAAACTGTTAGATACCATTCGTGACCTAAGATGGCCTCAGGGCATAAACAAGGGTCACGAACACCATTTTCATGTTCAGTGTGTCTAAACCACTTGTAATTCGGTGTTTGGGAGTGTTTATAATGTCTTTGGTCCAAAAGAGGCGCATTTCAATTTTCTCCCATTGACTTATAATGGGGAGGTCGCAAAATTGACCTGACCTTGGGTCATCGATATCAAAATTCTGAGATAAACATTTTGTACATGCTATTGCTCTTAGCAATCGCTGAAAGTTTCAAAGCGATCGGTCACTCGGTGTAGCTATGACAGACATTGCAACTTTTTATGAGGTGAGGTCACCTCAAGTGACCTGGTGACCTGACCTTGAATGACCTTGGTCTGAAATTTTCACAACATGTGTAGAATTGATGTATGATAAGGTGTACAAAAAACGGCGTTCGCGAAAAACCACAAGGGGGGTGGGTGTTCAAACACCCCCCCCCCCCCTAGCAGGGCGCGGGTTAAGTTCATGGAGGTCATCTGCACTGGGCTTAGCGGTGATTTGGTCATGTTTCCACAGTTTGGTCCCGTTGCTGGGCTGAGCCCTTCCTATTATTTGGCACTCCCAACGGGGTGCCATTCCTTGGGTCGACCCTTCTACATGCCCATGTCAGTCCTCGCTCCGTAGTGGAGGAGATTCGCGAAAAATGCCCCAGTCTAGTCCGGCGTTTTCCCGACCGAAACATCGAAATCTGTCCACCGAAACAATGTCTTACTTGATACCGTCACTTAAAGGGACAGTATCATCGAAAAAAAAATCAATGTATGGAGCTGATTTTTTTCTTTTTACTAGCATTTCTTATTTTTCTGAATCAGAAAAACATAGTTTGAGGACCGAACTCGGTGAAAAATATTTTTTCATGAGCGAGTCATTTTCATGAGCGAACCACCACTACAAGCATGGCCGCCACTTTGGAAGCCTGCGAAATTACTACAGAACTGGCGCAGATAATACATTATTGACGCTACGCTTACGCGGCCGCTCTTCTGATTGAGTTGTCGTTGAGATCGAGACTGATGAGATGACGTCATACATATACGTCATACATTGGAGGGAGATTGTGATTCAAGATGGAGGAATTCCTTTGTTGAGCCGCTAGAATCCGAAGGAAACAGCGGAAATTGCCTACGACTAATTAATGAATTTAACGGTGATGAATAAGTGCGAAAAACGTTTTGGCTTTATAAAATTTGATGAAATGACCAGAGTAAAAGTTTTATTACTGGCGGTCAATTCAAAACGGCGCAAAAATTTAAACAGTGAAGATAGTGAAGCACGATTCAAAGTGTAGTACACCTTTCGTACTTTGAGCGGCGATAGCGGGATAACGGTGTGGAGCTTCGAGGATCGGTCTTCAGTTCCCGGACCAGAAAGGTGGGGCCTACCCAGTAAACATGACGACGTCGGCCCGACGTCGGGCCGAGGCTCGGCCCGACGTCGGCCCAACGTCGGTTCAACCTCGGCCCGACATCGGCTGCACGTCGGATATGCCCGCATGTTCCGACGTCCAGCCGAAGTCCAGCCGACTTCGAGCCGACGTCGGGCCGAGATCGTTTGCCGAGGTTGACGAGATCGTTTGTCGTTGGACCGACGGGGCCGACGTCGGCATGTTTATTGGGACAACGCGCCAAAAATATCAACCGGCGGCGGGATACGAGCCCCCAGTCGCCGACGTCGGCATGTTTACTGGGACAACACGCCAAAACCATCAGCCGGCGTTGGGAATCGAACCCATTGCCATTCGAACGCGCGGTTAGTGCGCTAACCACTACACCACGCAGCCAGCTAACGAAGTTGGTTTGTTTTGTTCGGTTATGCCCTTTCGGTCTGACAAGACCATTTCAGAGCCGGAAGGATCATAGGATGGAGACATTGGTCTTCTTGGCGAGCACCCTGGGTCCAGTTCATATAGAGTCCCTGGTCCCATTGCTGTTACGTGACACTTATTGGAAAGGGCGACCCCACAATGGATTCATATAGCCACTCTTACACACCTGCACCAACGTTTCCCAAAGTGTCCCTTTGATAAGTGGCACTTTGGCAAAGTGACACTTGCCGACTGGCCTTTCTATATGAACTGGGCCCGGCCCTGGTGAGTTGCCGGGGCTGAGCCTGACCAAAGGATAGGCCGAGCAGCCCCCAAGCACTCACCGCACCCGGCTACGGGCGAGCTCGGCTTACGGGCAATCACAAATGGGATAAAGTTTCCCGTCCAGTCCGGATCAGGGGGTTGCGGCGTGGAGGAAGATTTGAGTTTCCTGAGGATATTTTGAATACAGAAGCTCTTTATGAAACATGAAACATGTATTTTATATTATTTTAACGGTCAAAACAGCGGCCGATATCGGTCCGACGTCGCCCCGACGTCGGCCCGACGTCGGCTGGACCTCAGCAATTGATCTCGGTCCGACGTCGGCCCGACGTCGGCTGGACCTCGGCTGGACGTCGGAACATGCGGGCATATCCGACATCCAGCCGACGTCGTGCCGAGATTGGACCGACGTCGGGCCGACGTCGGCATGCCGATGCCGAGTTGCCGACGTCACCCCGACGTCGGCCGACGTCGGGCCGACGTCGGCATGTTTACTGGGTATGCAATGTCAAATTTCATCAAAATGGTGATACTGTCCCTTAAAAAAAAAAAAACTGTCAGGGCTCTGATTGAATAATGAATGATACCTGGTGACCTGCTGCTAAGTTACTAACACCGTATAAAGTGGTTTCGTGGATCAAACAAGATTAAGCTTTTAACCCTGACGCTCTGCTGACGTTTAGTGGCTTTACTGTCGTGACGAATACCTAGTCGCACGTTTTGGGTGCTTTCGGACAGTCGAGTGGCTGGATTCTGGAACTACAGCTTTTGCTTAGAGAACAGTGATTTTTATAGATCGGTCCTAAGAGGTATTAGGTTCACTGGTACGGTACAAATCGAACAAGCTCGTCGATCATAATGGTTTCGAATAGACTGCTTCAAGCGCTTCCCTTGTCAGCATATGTAGGTATGAACCAAACTTTCATTGATTCTCAAATCCCAACTCAAGGGCGGCTTGAGAGTAGAATCCTAATTGAACGGTATCTATTGATTTTTTATTGCGAATTTACTACATCATTTGATTGTATTGGATATGCAGCATGTTGACTGCAATCGCCTTCATAAACATCGAACTGAAGCGGCTACTGACTGGTAAACCGGTGGGCAACGCAATCACCACTGGCCTAATACCCTATTGAATGTTTAGTTATTCAGATGGCGGCAGGGGTTGGGACAACTGCGCGTGCCTCCGCGGAAGCCGATAGAGCCTACAGTCACGACTCACGCTATTGGCACACCGTGCGCTCGTCACCAGTCATGGGCAAAGTGGGACCACCTTTGGTCCACTCCATCTCAACTAAAGACTTCAGGCTCGACTCTTCAGGTCAACTGCATGTAGATAATTCACATATCTGCCTCACGTCTATCTCTGATCGTAACCTTGACCTCGACCGTCTGTCGCGGCTCCAAGCCAAGCCGGAGTGGGATTTGGGGAGGTCGAGCACCCCCAGCTCGGCACAACCTTAGCCACCTATGCTAGTGGTGACTACATCGCATCCACTTTAGATCCACATTAATATACCACAGGTCCAAATCAGCCGCCTACATAATGTCCACATCATTCCACATATCATGTCAATTTGTCCACATCAGGTCCACCTCAGGATTGTTGGCTCTAGGGTCACATAGACCACGACATTGGTCAAGGCACATTTGGTATTGGCAACGCAACAGAACGGGTAAGGATTGTGTTGTGCAACTGATGAGATGCCTGTAGGATGTTTCAATGGCGGTTGCGGTTGTGCTAGATGGATGACTAGGCATTCAGCTCAGAAATATCTGTCGGTCCTCATATGATAGATGCGCAGTTTGAGACAGCCATCAGCCATCAAACTTAAACGGATTTCTTTTCCATTGAAATGAAAGTTGCGATGAAAACGGTCGGCGAACCTATTGATGCACCAGTCGAGAATGCAATTGCTAAGCAAGCCACCTGTTCAGTCTTCTGTCCTTCGTATCGTACACGGCTCTTCTGGAAAATAACCCTCATGACCCCTCCTCTCTGGTCTACTCAGCAGGGCGTTATGGACATCACCTTTCCGCGACCCTGCCCCCTCGTCCATTTCTTCCCGACGTGTCACCACACCTCCCCTCCCCGTTAGGTCAATTCTCCTTCCATCCCGGCACATCTGACGACCCCTACCCTCTCTCCCCTCCCCATGGGTCTCCTCTTCCCTCTCCTCTCTCCTTCCCTCCCCTCCCTCGGCGGCAGGCAGTTCACCGATATCGTCTCCAATCGCCCGCCGGCCGCCCGCTCGCTTCGGCACCTCTCAGCCGCTTATCACCAGTCACCACCTGACCACACTCCCCCTCGGCTTCTAATCGACGACTGGGATACAATCGCGACGCGTCACCGCCACCGCCAGCGCGCCGCGACCGTCGCTAGTGCAGCCAGAAGATATCACGTGACCTCACGCCGGCCTATCTAAGACTCATCTCAGGCCTGTCACGTGACTGAACCGTTCCAGCAGACAGACGCTCTGCTCTGGCCAGCGCTAAGCTGGGGCTGCTTTGGTCGCTGCTGCGACCAAAGCTGCGACCTTCCGCGGCTGTGGGCTGTGCCTTCTGCGGCGGCGCCTGCTGCGGTGGACGCTGCGGCGTTTTTGCTGGCTGGACGGGGACGGTCGCCAGTGGACCTGTCGCGTCGCACGCGTCGGCCGCGGCGCTGTCTCCTCAGCGGCGGCGGTCGGTGGTGGGGGGAGCCAGTCGCCGCCCGAGTGGCACAGAGTGAGGAGCGGGGTGTCGTGAGAGCGTGGTGCAGGAACTATTGGTGACGTGCACCACTGTGTGTGAGTGGTGTGGATGGATTGGTGCGTGATGTGCGGGATAGCAAGTGAATATGGTTTTATGGTGAGGTGACAGGACAGCCACTGACAATATTGAGAAGTGCTTACGGGTCGAATGGTATCCCTTTTCCGAGTGTTTCGGGTGCTTTTATGGACTGTTACTTGCTGTCCGAGAACAACTTGACAGAAGTAGCTGACGGATCGAACATAGTTGTTGCGGCCGCGGACCAATACTGATGACAACAATGTTGGATCGTTGAAGATTATGTAATTGTATTGCAACAGTACATGCAAGGGCAAAGTGAAAGATCACACGCTACTCTTTTCTGCCGGGTATATTTCCTTCAGGTTCCTCATCATCTCAGTGAAGTGTTGAGTGGCGACTGGACGAAGTGACATGGCCTCCGCTCCCCTCGGTGACAGTAAATGACTCCGGGCGTCTCAGTGACCGGTTGGGAACCCTTTCGGTGACGCGGCCAAGACGGATTCGCTGTCGCTCTCTCTCCTCGGCGACTGAAGAATTATGAAGGTGAGTTGCGGTATCTCGTCGAGCTGAGATCGCCGGCCGGGCCGGTTTTGAAACCAAACCCATTTGGTCGCTTTGGATGGCACGTGCGTGGAATGAATAACCGCCTCTGCATCGCGTATTCAATACCTAATTTCATCATCAACAAATGTAGAAATGCTTCTATAGAGCTGAAAAGAAAGACATTTCGCAATCACATCGTTACTGGCTTTTGGAATCGAAACTCCGTCATTAAACGTGTCCTTTTCTCGATTTGGGAACTTGTAGAAATGCTAAAAGTGAGATTTTTATCGTAAAATACCTTTTCATCAGATGTTTCAAGTTCCATATGGTGCTTCAAGCGTGTCATAACCCTTTGGCGACAAGAAGGTGCAAGGAGCATCATTGTTTGACTCTCTTTGAAGATCTGCCATGTTATTGCAACTTGCTACTCGCATCACACGCGTCCGTCCTTTCTATCCTCAGGATCAACTCATCCTGATCATCCCTACCTGATCCGGACTGACGATCACTCCACTTCGCGACAACCGGTGAGTAGCAGCTCCAGTAAGAACATCTCTTTCAGCGGTGACTGTAGTGTTGAGGGTGGCGGGGTGGCCTGTCTTGACTTGTCCCACCGGGGCACTCCCGTTCCGACGGTATGGGCTCAGCTACTGTGGTACACCTGACTATAATTGTCGACTCAGTCCAATATCTTCCCCTTATTCTCTCATCTCATGGCCCTGGAATGGTCTTTCCATTCCAAAAGGGCCCAACGACATAAAAGGCATCATATTCAGACACGTGACCACGGGGGCTGAGCTAGACCGCTCATCAGCTCAGTGATTTGCTTAGGGTCAGGTTCGTTTCTGGTAGATCTCCGAAAGGCAAATGACCATGCAATGTTAAATTGAGGTCTGCTTATCTGAAAATGGTTGCTGGCTTTCATCAGACTCTTGACCTCTAGAAATTCTGCTAGGAGGTCGCTTACAGCCAAAATATGCGTACTTTCGAGATGGTAAAACGCCAAGGTAGTTGACACGGCTCAGGGGCAATGAACTGAAGACGGTGTTTTATGGTGACAACAGGTTTTGAGGATCATCTTCTGGCCGTTATTTATAAGCAGGATGACACCAGTCAAAACTAATCATCAAAATGCCGGTGGTGTAGGACGAACCAAAGCCAAAGCTTATCTATCGCTATACCCACTCGAAGAAAGCAAACTAATATTCTAGGTAGCTCATCACTTATGATCAGCTCACGACACAGCATTGACCTCGTCTCAATGAAATGACTTTTCACACAAAATCCTAGATTTGTTCTTTCGCACATTATTTGAACAATCATCACATTTAATCGCTAGCTCTATCGACGGATCTGCTACTTTGGCCGTTCCTACAAATATCAGATAAGGGGCAGTCTTAGGTACCTACTCATATGTGCACTTCCATCTGTGTTAGATCATTTCTCAGCTGTCCCAAGAAGAGCTGAACATCCAGTAGCTATCCCACGGTGTAAGATGTTATCGTCACATGTTGAACAGGGCTTAGCCGCTCCACACTTCCCTGCGCTCGTTGGTGAACGCGCATTGGCTACTTTGCTGCTTTTTAGAGGAAGATGTAATTTGTCACACTGCAGACAAGCATTTTTGCTTGTAAGTTCTCAGTTCCTTGAATGCGATGACTGATATGGGAATTCGTAACGGCATTTTGTCTCCCGTAAATGGATATTTTTCCACACATAACCTTAGATGCCATGCCATACTGTGCGTAACGTTGTTTCATTAGCGTAAGCCCTCGTTTTATTAGTGAATTGCTTTTTGTGAATGTTTACTTTTTTAACCCTCGCCCGCACATGCCATTTTCCCCATCCTAGAACGCACATGGGGGGGGGGGGTGGTTGCCACCCCCCCGCGCCATTTCGTTCCTGTTGGAGATAGAGCTTAGCGGTAAAGACCAAAAAGATTCTTTGGGAAGAGACGAATCCAATGATACCCAGTTTTACCTTCTCAGGTCAGTCATTGACCTTCCAGGTCAGGTCAAACTAAAAAATGTTGCTGTTTTGGGTCACCGTTGGATACCAAGTGCGCTGCTTATCAAATACCGATGACGATGCTATTTTCTGGTGCCAAGCCAGCTAGAACCTCTTTGTCACACTACCCGACCAGAATTTTGCTGCTGAGGTCATTTCAGGTCAAGTTAGGTCAAGGTCAATTATATGTGTTTGTATGTCTGTGTGTGTCTGTGTGTATACTGATGTGTGCACCGATTGTTTTTGGGTCCATGTTACATGAAATCATGATCTGAGAAGCTTTTACCAAAAATGCAGTCAAAAAACTTCACAAAAAGTAAATTCAGCTTGCCTAAAACGCAATTATCTTAGATGACCTAGGTTGACCTTGACCCTGACCTTGACCCCTGTACATCTTCGAACAACATGTTCCATGATAGGTGGGAGGTACGACTGGCAAAAAAGGCCGAAATCAGGGTGTCAAAAGCTCACAAGGCCCATGGCAAACGCAAGATGTTGAGAATTGGCCATTTGGGTCATGACATGACCTGAAAAACAAGGTCATATCTCCGAAACCAAAAATCACAGAAACTTGAAATTTTCAGTGGACATCAAGATAGGATAGAGGAGCAGCTATACGAAAAATCAGCCCTATAGCTCTAAAAATGTTGAGTGCAGAGCAGAAAGACTACCTGGGGGGGGGGGGGTGGCAACCACCCCCCCATGTGCGGGCGAGGGTTAATGATTGTACACATTATTTGCTGATTGGTGAGCACACATGTTTACAAAAAGAAGCACACGGCTCGAATAGAAGCTCCAATAACTGGAAGAACACCGTTTCAACTTGCCATGCGAATAGCCACGGTCAGTACTGTTCACTGTTCAGCTATGCAGTCAGTCAGCTATGCAGTCAGCCGAAACTAAATTCAATGCGAGATTGTCCGTGCCGTGCGGACAGCGATCTCGACAGCCAGCCCAGTTTTCCGAGAACTTGAGTCGGGTCATTAGCCTCGCCAGAAGCCGTATCGGTAATTGCACTCAACCGGTGCACTGCGATTGATGTTTGCTCGTTGCATATGGGGCATATTTACTCTTCAGTGCATACTGACCAACTGCGAAACATCGGAATCATAATTTAGATAAAGTTTTACAAACGAAATAAATATTGAGAGCCCACATGCCACTACAACCAGTGGCGTATAATTTAAAGGCCACGTTTCTTATTGTTGCAAGATTGATTGGCCGTAGCATCGCACACACCAGGGTTGGTTATATGACGCTATAACCACGAGCGTAAATGCACAGTCGTAAAGCTATAAACTGGCCGGAGCTCTGAACGAAACTAGGCAGGACTGTCTGTTTGTTTTCTACTCCATCAGCAGAGAACTCAGCGCCAGATTTGGGTCTGATTTGGTCTGAACTGTGTCAAAGGTGGCGCTTCTGAAGTCCGAGACTTTTGCTTTGTTCAGATCCCATCCCACACATCTTCAAAGTTGATGATGAAGTTAGCAAATATTTCCTGTCAAATATCGCAACTCGACGGCACCAACAGCCATCAATGCCACAATCTTCAATTGCGGCCCGCCAGTCAGATATATGTAAACCATGGGATTGTTTCTTTTGTGGCCAACTCCTAGACTACCTACCGAAAGTAAAGCGTCGCAATGTCTCGTAAAGTGAGACGCTGAACTAGTAAAACGTCGGTGTTCTTACAACACCATCTGGTTCACTGTCGTCAGCTAATAACACAACTGACTTTGCATTTTCCAATAATAGCTCGCCTAAGTATCGCACCAGCACTGCTTTCCGCCGACCGATCTTTCTCTATACCTTTCACAGCTCCCGTGCTGCCCGATCTTCCCAAACTGACCCGATCTTCTTCCGCTGACGAATGACCTCTGCCTGGGGGCTGACAAATTACCAACACCTCCTGAGGTGACTTGCGCCGCGCCCGCGCTCCCAAACCAATGACTGAGCGCAGTGGCAGAGACCGTTTTTGGAGTCCCACGCCCTCACAAGGTGTCCGTGTGTCGTATAGGATGGATGTGTTCTGTGACGCAGCCCGACGCTTAGCTGTTGTTTGCCGCCCGGAACAAAAGGTTGTAAATACGAATCATCATTCAGTTACAGTCTGTAAGGGTGGGAAATTAATTGGTCATGTCTGAAGCGACATGCATGAGTGGATACATATCAATTAATGTTCGTATGAAAGGTGAGCTGGAATATTCATCATAGCAAATGCCGTCCGGAGAACAATAATAAATTTAAGGTGAGCAGAACACATCAATTTTAAGTTGTGGGCGGCAACGTTCTCGGCAGAGCTGATGACCCCCGAACTGGAACTTGGAAGCTCCGAACTGGAACTTGGACGATGGGACGTGGAGTTACAGTGGATGGTGGATACTGTTGAATGATGTTGAGGGTTTCTTTGAAAATGAGCCCCATTATTATCAAAAGATAAGCAAGTAATAGCCTTTGGCTCATTGTATAATAGACAAAAGAAATGGAAAAGAATATATGTGCGATATTTCGTGTCCGACACTTTTTCATTTCTTTTGTCTATTATACAATGAGCCAAAGGCTATTACTTGCTTATCTTTTGATGGTGGATACTGTAGGCATTACGAGTAGGCAAAGGACATTTGTGTGGACAGCGAGTGTGAGACTGTTCTGTGGATCATATATGGAGTTGACTGGATGGGAGGAGAAAGACGGTGGATGGTGGGTTAGAGTACTCATACAATTCAAGCTGGAAGTTTGTGTAAGCGATGAATGGAAGCGAGACGCCGCGATCGGCGAATCTCCCTGTCAATGTGGGCGGTGGGCGACGAAACTCCTTGTCCCAATGGGCGTTGACGGCCCTATCCTATTTGACACTGGACCGTAGCCGGTGACCGTTGGTCCTTGGACGGTGGGCGGTGAAGCTCACCGTCTCACTGGGCGGTGGTAGCGCCCCTGCAGCCTGTTATCCACCCCACCCCTCCACTCCCCTCTCCCTGAGATGGTCCGCCCGA